TCTCTCTCTCTCTCTCTCTCTCTCTCTCTCTCTCTCTCTCTCTCCTCCATCTCTTTCCTCTTGGCAACTACTGTGATTTACAGTTTGCCTGCGTTTTCCTTTTCGACTCTAACAAAACTGTCCTTGAACATCCTTCCAAGTTCTTTCCTAAATTCTCTTACTAACAAGACAAAGAACTCAAAGAGGGGACAGCCCTTGATATCCCCAGGAACATTAGGTCTCCTTTCGTCCATACAGAACTGGCTGGACAAGCAGTGAGCAGTCACTAAAGATTTCAACAGAAACATGCCTTGTCACCTAATTACTAAAAATACCTGTGCCCTCTGTGGTAGACACAGTAAGCTCTCCTTCACTAACACTGGTTCTGCCCCGTTACACACCCTGCTCTCCCTGTAAACAACGTCCAGTTTTTTCTCTCCCTCACTCGGAATGTTCACCCTCTTGCAAGCTTGCCTCTACTGAAGGGCTCTGGTCCCTGAGTCCTTCAACTGTCTTCTTTGCTGCTAAGACAGTGGGACCTTCCGGAGCACAGTCCCAAAGAAAGCTAACACTAATAATCACAGAGCCAGCCCGTCATGGTATGCTCCGCCTCAAGCTCCCGGCTTCCTTAGTAACACAGCCACAACATCAAGATCATCACTGTTCCCTCGAAAATCTCAAACCCTTCCACAAACATAGTCATCTGATTCTCTGCTGGAGGCAACCATTTATCATCCAGAAAACTGGGACTGTGTGGCGACAAGGGCTTGTCTCGGATTAGCCGGAAGATGCAAACTGTCCTCTAATCCTCTAGCTCTTTTTTTTATTACTTTATGGGTACTATGCCTACATCTACCTATGTACACACTTACATGACCGTTGTCCTCCAAGATCAGAAGAGACATCAGATCCCCTGGACGTTATAGATGGTTGTGAGGGACCATGTGGGTGCTGGAATCAAACCTGGGTGCTCTGCAAGAGCAACAAGTGCTGCTCTGTGGTGGTTTGAGCAGAGACTAAGTCCTCACAAGCTCATAAGTTTGAACAGCTGGTTCCCAGTTGGTGGCTGCTGGGAAGGATTTGGTGTGTGGGCTTGCTGGTGCAGTGTCACGAGAGGCGGGCTTTGAGGGTTCAAAGACCCATAGTTTGTTCTGTCTGCCTCCTACTTGAGTCAAGATGTGTGCTCTCAGCTGTTTCTGCTGCTGTGTGACTTTGCTCCACCATTATGGACTCTAACCCTCTGAAAGCATAAGCCCTATCAAATGCTTTCTTTTATAAGTTGCCTTGGCCTTGGGTTTTGTCACAGCAGCAGAAAAGTAACTGATACCTGCTCTTAACCACTGAACCAACCCTCCAGCCCCTGTCCCCTAACTGTTCAGCTGCCGTCACTCTATTCTTTTTTTTTTTTAAGGATTATTTATGCATTTTATGTATGAGTACTTGGTCTGCATGTACATTTTACACCAGAAGGTGGCACCAGACAGGTGTGAGCTGCCATGTGGGTGCTGGAAATTGAACTCAGGACCTTCAGAAGAGCAGTGAGTACTCCTAACCACTGAGCCATCTCTACAGCCCCTTGGAACTCTATTCTTTCTCCTATCAGTGTAGACTGATCATTTCACTGCATAGCTGCTCTTCTCCCCTATGACAACCAGCCAAGTGGCCCTGGGACCTTTCATGAGTTATGGTCAACATGCCCGATGTAGGCAAACCAGTTTTAGAGGTTATTAGACGGTTCCATTCCAAACAGAGTTCAACAACTGTTCTTACAAATGCCAATTCCCACAAAGAAAAATCAGATTCCATTATTCTTAGAGCTATAGGCACCACACAAATTCTTGATGCTCTGGGAGGAATGAGCTCAGTGGGTATTGAGGAGATTAACAGAAACTGCAGTGTGTTCTCTTGGCTATGCTTGTGAAGTATAGCCACACCCAGACTCTCCCAACCCCATGGGACCAAATGCTAGAAACTATTTTGGGCTCAAGAGGGAGAAAAGCACCTAGGAAGGGAAGAGATTATCTCAGGCCTTCAGGAAACAAAGCATACAATCCCACATATCTTTGTGAGTTCAAGGCCAGCCTGGTCTATAGAGAGAGTTCTAGGTCAACCAGAGCTACAGAGAAACCATCTTGAAAAAAAAGGACCCACATGGGCACTTAGAAAGATTGAGAAAGTCTCCACCCTCCAAAGGCACAAAGACTAGATACATGATCATACAAATCCTTCTTCCTGGAGAACTGGGCCAATGACAAAGAGATTAAAGAGGGCATGTCTGGCCCTCCTACCAGGGAGCAAAACACCAAAATAGTTTGTAAGTAAGGAATGGACAAAACAGAGGAAACAGAGCAGAGAGGTGTGTGCTGGGACAGGGCAGTTCAAGCCGGCTGCACCCTGTGCTCTTGCTATCACTGTAATATCCACTAGCTGTTGAATTTGATTACTCGGATGCCAGGCCTTGCCTTGTGTGCATCATGCCTAACCTGAACATCCTCCATCCACCCATGGTGCACAGATAAGGTGTGCATCCGTTGCCACCAGTTCAAACTGCTCAGGACCTGAGCATGGCAGAACAGCTAAAAATATCAACTTGTGCCAGACAGCAGTGGACAACCTGCACCATGCAATGGTGACACACACCCTTGATCCCAGCATTTGGGAGTTAGGGTAGGTATATCTCTGTGAATTCAAGGCCAGCCTGGTCTACAGAGTGAATTCCAGAATAGCCAGGGCTACACAGAAAAACTCTGTTTCAAAAAATCAAATAGACAATAACAAAAGCTCAAACTCTAAAAACCCATTAACTTGCGTACTTTTAATCCCAGCATTCAGGGGGAAGAGGCAGATGGATTTTTATATGAGTTTGACATCAGCCTGGCCTACACAACTAGTTCCAGAACAGTCAGAACTACAAAAAGACTCTGTCTCATAGAGGGGAAAAAAAAAAAAAAAAGAAAGACAACTCAAGAGGTTGGAGTGATGGCTCAGCGGTTATATATAATAAGGCAGCCCTTGTACCCACATGGCAGGTAGTTTACAACTATCTGTAACGCTGGTTCAAGGGTATCCAATGCCCTCTTTGTCTTCCAAGGGCACCAGGTACCCACATGGTACACAGACATACATGTAGACAAAAACACTTATAAACACAAAATGAAATTTGTTTAAAAATTGTGAAAATAAGTCAAGTATAGTGAGGTACACCTTTGATCCCAGCCCTCAGGAGGCATAAGCAGTCAGATCTTTGAGTTTGAGGCCAATAGAGTATCTGTATAGAGTGAGTTCCACAGCCAGGACTATATATAAGCACAAACCAACCAATCAACCAACCAAACAAACAAAAAAAGTGAAAATAAATTAACTCATAGGACTGGAAAGATATCTCAGTGGATAAGAGTGAATACTGCTCTTGCCAAGGACCAGAATTCAGACTCAGGAAGTTCACAACTTGTAACTCCAGCTCCAGGGGGTCTGAATACATATACACTTAATTAAAAATATAAATGCTTTTTAAAATATATTAACTTGCTGGGCGAGTGACAGAAACTTTTTTTTTTTGAGACAGGGTTTCTCTGTGTAGCCCTGGCTGTCCTGGAACTCACTCTGTAGACCAGGCTGGCCTCGAACTCAGAAATCCGCCTGCCTCTGCCTCCCAAGTGCTGGGGTTAAAGGCGTGCGCCACCACCGCCCGGCGACACAAACTTTTAATCCCAGCACTCAGGGGTGGTCTTATGGATCTGAGATCGGAGTTTGAGACCAGAGTGGGCTACAAAGCAAGTTCCAGGCCAGCCAATGCTAAATAGGTAGACCTTGTTTTAAAAACAAACAACAAAACCCCAAAAAATTAACAACAAAAAAAAAACAAAAAAGAGCTCACAGAATCCTCATAATAAGTCTATGAAATAGGAATTATAACTATTCTCATTTAGTGGAGGAGAAAAATGAAGGTGCAGAAATTAAAGATGTGTCAGGAAGCAATGGAGAAATGCAAAGTGGGCACTTGTGTTAGAGCAACAGACTGTGGGGTGAGCTCACCTGGCTTCCCCAGCTAGAGAATACCAAAGCCTTGAGGGAACAGCCCTGGCTAATCCTTCTGGAATGCCCAACAACTGACTGAAGCAAGGCAATAATGAAGGAGCATAAATGGGAGCAGGCTGAGGCTGAGCAAGACACCTGGCCCTTCCCTGAAAGGCTCCAGCTCCAGGAAGAGTCATCCTTCCGACATGACACACACACACTGCCATCTACAAAGTTTACACTTGAGAATAGCCCAACCCAAGGCCGCACTTGTAGCTTGTTTTTTTTCCCAATAAGGCAGCCTCTGGGCAAGCCTTATGGTGTCGGCAGGGGAGAGCAGGGGGCAAGTTAGTTGAGTCCTGTGAAGGGATGGGACGGGTAGGCTGACACTCTAGGTGTAGGGTCCGAGAAACTCAATCTCTATGGACACCTACTCTTTAGAGGGCGGGGAGAGAAATCTCCAGAGAGAATGTGCCCAGCTTCAGTTTAGCTATTCTCCCCCAGATTTGTTTGCCACTTTGTATGCTTTTAGGAGCCTGGCCTGAGCCCACGGGACGTCGGGGAGCCAACCTCAAGCAAGAGTTCTTTAGGGCTCTGGAACCAGAAGCGGGGACAGGGTCAGAGGGATCGTAGCTGGATAAACGGTAAGGAAGGCAGGCAACACGGCATCTGGCACAATCGTGCATTCTCTGGACCGCTTGGGAGCCTCCCTTATATAAACCCAGGGTGGCAGGTCCAGGAACCCGCGCCCTGCAGTTCCGGAGCAAAGTTCCCAAAAACAGCCTTCTCGGCCGGCTGGGCTCCACTCAAGCTTCTCCCGGAAGCGCACTGAGATAACGAGACTTCAGGCACCCCCAAGTTCGCACACCCTGGGACCCTGGGGTCCCGGGCTCACCAGCCTTGACTCCGATCAAATCCGGGCCTTGTCCTCAGGTGAACATTGCACCCCACGCCACGCGCAAGTACCCCACATGCGCAGGCCTCCTGCCGGGACCCTCACTCACCTGGCACCAGGGACCAGGACACTGAACTCGGATAGCAGCTCCTTCTCACTCCCGCTTTCCGGGATCCTGATCTGCGAGAGTCTGCGCACCGTCGGAGGAGGAGCCCGCAGGGCGGAAAACTCTCTGGGTGCGGCTGCCTTAGTCGCCCCGGGGCGGAGCCACACGAAGGGGGCGGAGCCTCTCTGGAGGGGCGGGGTGCATGAGACCACGCCTACAGGTGAGGTCTGTGTCCCTGTGGTGAGTCTGTAGGAAGCCCGGAGCTTTCCCAGTGGAGCAGAGCCGCTCTAGATTACCGGATGCGGGAACATTTCTCGGGTGTTTTTTTTTCCCCCTCAGGAGTCTGACAGCGAAGAAAACTTAAAACGGTCACTGTGTACGGCAGGAGGAAATTTCACAATGGAAAAAATTATCACCTCAGCCAGTGATCAGGGCCAACATTATCAGATTTATATTGATCTTCTGTCGTGTGGTGTCTTCCTTCCGATGTCACATGACTCCATAGTAATCGTGCAAAAATATCAGACAAGCCCCATTTGAGGAATTCAGGACTGTCCAAAACTCTCAAGGTCGTCAAAACAAGGAAGGCCTGAGAAGCTGTCACGTAGAGATATGAAAACTAAGTAATGTGACATCTTGGATGGGATCCTAGGAAAAGCACACTAGGTTAAAAAAAACAATGACAGCTGAACCATATATAGATTTTAATAGCAATGCACCAATATTGATTCATTCATTGTAGCAAAAATACTAATATGTTAATAACAGGAGAAAAACCATGATATTTGTTTATTTAGAAAAAGGTAGTATAGTAAATATGATTGCATAACATTTAAAAGTAAAAAGTAAGACTTTTACTCTCCCCAACTCACGTTTAGGCGCCTCCTTCCCAATGTCCAACACACTTCCACGTGTGCATTGCTTAGTATACTTAAGCAAACGTGTTTGTTTATAAAATAGGATTGTAGGTTTTTTGTTTATTGTTTGTTTTTGCTTCCTGACTTTATCTTGGAGTGTCCTCTCAATTGGTGCCCCAGAATCAACCAGGTTCTTCCTAAGGACTGCATAGGATCTCCCCCCACCCCTTAGGGATTGCTGTTCTTCACTACCTAGCTCCCACCTGGTGTACACTTTTTTTCCCACTTTTGATTTGCAAACAAGCCGTTCCTCATTTGCATTTCAGGAGCCCAGTGAACCAGAAGAGCCCGAAGCAACCTGGTTGTCAGGGGTTGGCAGGTGTGGTCTGCCTTGCGCCAAGAGGGGTCTACATGCTGGTGGGAGTGAGCAGGACTGCCTGGCTACTGCCACGCAGATGGGCGGCTCTCTAGGACTGCCATCACAAGCAGGGAACCTTAAGATTTCAGAGTGAATGAAAATAAATAAATAAATAAATAAATAAATAAATAAATAATAAGGAAGGAAGGGAACATGATTACTTCTAGGTATGGTGGAGAAGATTTACGGTAGAGAAAGAGAAGACGACATAGTCAGAGATAGACACATCTGGGAGAATTCAGAGTGGTCGTGAAGCTGAGCCTTGTGAGGAGAGTGGGGAGGGGAAAGGAGAGAGGAGCACCAGATGCAGCAGCTAGAAGGCTAAAGGTACAAAAAAGGGGGAAGTGGTAACTACCATCGTTATACTAAGTAGAGAAAAGCAGCCCAGCACGGTGGCCTGGGGAGTTCAGGGTAGAGGACAAGGTATGCCAGCCACACCCTTTAACAGGTAAGGACTGAGGGATTCTGGGAGAACCTGGAAGCCAGGTTGGCTTTGATGTGTCAAGCAGGCACCTGTCCAGGGTTTGAAACTTAACACAAAACATCACGTTGAAAAAAAAAAAAAAAGGAGGGGGAGGGGACAGAGGGGCAGAAAGAACGGAATTTGTGGAAATGTGGGACTCACGTGAAGTCTGCCACCAAACCAGCTCCAAGCCTTTCTGGACTCCAGGGAGCTATTGTCATCCAGCACTGTCTCTGGGACAGGGGGATTCTCCAAGGAAGGTCACCTGGCTGTGACCCAACTCCTCTGTCCCATCCTTGCACAGAGCTGGTCCTCCCACAACGGCAACAAAAGGCAGACTTCTGATGGCCCACTTTTCTCTGAAGTGGAGCCAATATTTCTTGGAACATGACATGTAAAAATAAATCATTTAGGGGAGTGTTTCTCAGCCTGTGTGGAGACTCCTCAGGGTCAGGTAACTTTCACAGAGTTAGCCTAGGATGATCTGCATCTCAGATATTTACATTACGATTCATAACAGTAACAAAATTACTGTTATGACATAGCAACGAAAATAATTTTCTTATTGAGGTCACCACCATATGAGGAACTGTATTAAAGGGTCACTGTAATAGACCCTTTAATAGGGTAACTGTATTAGAGAGGACAAGGACCACTAGTCTAGGGTGAGACTCGTCTCTGTGACACAAGCCTTTCTGCCTCAGAGCTCTTTAACGGAAGGATGAGGAATAAGCGGTCCTTTATAATTTTAATCTTTTTTTTTTTTTAAAGACAAGAGTCTCAGGTATCACCAGCTGGCATGGAACTACTTAGGCAGATGTGAACAGAAATTCCTGAAAAGAAACTGTCTGGTTGTAAAGAACAGGAGCAACAATAAAAACAAACAAATAAATGCCTGGAAGGAGTTTTTGTGTCTGCAGAGACTAATGTTTCAGTACTGTGGAAAATTTAGGGTTCAGAGCCTAATTACTTTATCTTAGACTTCCAGAACAGTCATTCCTTGCCCCACTCTGGATGTGAACTAACACTTGATGATAATAAATAAAAACCTCTTAGAAGCTATTAATGTAGAGCTAACATCTTGTGATAATAAATAAAAACCTTAGAGACTCACCTTCTCAGGACACTAGCTAGCTTCCATCATCCCAAGAGCTAAGAATGTCGTCAGAAAACATCTTGGGCCTATGGACCTATTTGCTGTCCTTCTGATAATCTCAAAGATGTGGGAAAGACCACCTATCCAGATCATCATGGCCAAATTCATTAAAACAAGCAACTAATTAAAGCAAGTTTTTTTTTATTATTATTCTTGTAAACTGCCAACTCCCTCTAAGTTGGTGTTCAAGAGATCAGCCTTGGATAGGGGAAGATAAGGACTTTTATAGCTCAGGGGTGGGTGGGGGGTTCCCAGTGAGGGATTTGGCAGGCAAAGAGGCAGGGTTACAGGAGCAGAGCATAAACATAACAAGTTGGTCACAACAACCTCCTGAAACAAAGACATGATAGCAAGATAGTCGTAACAACATGTGGTCATAACTTTGAAAAGCATAACTTTGCTGTTTCCGGGAACAGGTGGTATGGAACCATTTGTAGTTAAGGATACAGGCAGGGCACAACCAAATCCTTGAGAAACAGAGATCTAACTATAAACAGGAACAGGCCTAGTTTGTCTTTATTGTAAGATAGCTTTCAAAATTAAGATGGAGACTAGCTGGTATATTACTGCCTCTCTGGTGTATTTTAAACTTGTCTTGAGTTATGACTTTCTTGGTTCTGTAAAGCTATACAAACTTCATGAAATTGCTTCTGTGTTGAACATGGAACTTGGGGTAACCTAATCTCTGTTCCTAAGTCATGGTCACTCAAAATGGCTTCAGAATAAACTATCTCTTATTTCTTTTTTTTTTTTTTTTTTGAGACAGGGTATCTCTATATAGCCCTGGCTGTCCTGGAACTCACTCTGTAGACCAAGCTGGCCTCGAACTCAGAAATCCGCCTGCCTCTGCCTCCCAAGTGCTGGGATTAAAGGCACGCGCCACCACCGCCCGGCTCTATTTCTTATTTCTTAAAGGAGATCCACGGCCTTTCCATCAACACAGGTGAGGAAGACCTCAAATTCCTGGATCTCCTTTCTCTGTCCCCCAAGTGCTGAAGTTAGAGGTGTGAGCACCATGCCTGGGTCTTCTCACATGCTGAGTTGAGCACTCTACACACTGAGCTGTATTTCCAGCCTCAACCTTTTATTTCAACAAATGTGTTGGATCCCCAACAGTCAGTGAGGCACTAAGGGCTAAGCTTACAGAGAGCTTACAGAGCCCACCCCCAGAGCAGTGGCAGGAGCCGCACAGGCAACACTGGGCAAGGGAAAGTTCTGACACTTTGTGTTTGAATTGCATTCTGACATTTACTAGGTTTTGTTTTGTTGTTTTGTTTTTCGAGACAGGGTTTCTCTGTGTAGCCCTGGCTGTCCTGAAACTCACTCTGTAGACCAGGCTGGCCTCGAACTCAGAAATCTGCCTGCCTCTGCCTCCCAAGTGCTGGGATTAAAGCCGTGCGCCACCACTGCCCGGCTGACATTTACTAGTAATGGTGTCTTAGTTAGGGTTTTATTGCTGTGAAGAGACACCATATCTATGGCAACTCTTTTTTGTTTTTTTGTTTTTTTGTTTTTTTTTTTTGTTGTTTTTTTTTGTTTTTTTCGAGGCAGGGTTTCTCTGTGTAGTCCTGGCTGTCCTGGAACTCACTCTGTAGACCAGGCTGGCCTCGAACTCAGAAATCCGCCTGCCTCTGCCTCCCAAGTGCTGGGATTAAAGGCGTGCGCCACCACTGCCCGGCCTATGGCAACTCTTAATAAAGGAAAACATTTAATTGGAGCTGCCTTACTGTTTCAAGGTTTTAGTCCAATATTGTCTTGGCACGAAGATGGTAGCATGCAGGCAGACATGGTAGAGAAGAAATTTGAGAGTTCTACATCTGGATCCAAAGGCAGCAGGAAGAGAGAGGGTACCTTTGGGCTTGACTTGGGTATTTGAAACCCCAAATCCCACCCCCAGTGACACACTGCCTTTAATAAGACCACGCCTCCTAATGCCACTCCCTAAGCATTCAAATATGAGTCTATGGGGGATACATTCTTATTCAAACCCCTACAGATGCATACTGCTAGCTTTGACTTTCTTGCCTACAACGACTTCTTTTATAGGATGATTCAGCTTCCCTGTGCTCAGGGATGGTACAAGCACAAGAGAAAGTAAAATGTCTTATAAAGGCCCTGCCATAGCGCTGAAGAATAGCATGGTATTATCTATTTGGTTTCTTACACCAAGCTATTCAATACATAATAGTTGAGTATAGTTGAGGAGACTTTCCCAGGGTTTGGGGGCCCAGGACCCAGGTATC